ATATATATATATATAAACCCGACCAGGAGAATTATTTATCAATAAACATGGCAGTGAAAGCATTAATCATTCTCTAATATTCATATAGGATAAAATACTGTTAGTGGTGCAATTATTATGTACATAAATCATAGTGAAAACATTATGTTTTGCTTTGAAATGCCATTATTTAAAGAAATCATGTTGTCTATCCATATTTTGTATTTTTAGTAGTCAATAGTATTTGATCTAACTTTGAAACAGTTTAAGAAACAGAACCAGCTTAAAATTTTTGTCTTTTCAAACCAATGTTTAGAGTAATATATCTATCAGTACCTGCCTCACATGAAACCTACTTTAGTAAACACAAGCTGTTGAAAATAGGTTGAGATCTAGGGCATCTATGTGGCAGAGTTACACATTAATATGTTTACTGCTACATGTTCTGAACATAGAATGTATTATTTTTAGTTGACAGGTGTATCTACAAGCTATTTGTATTAAGGTCAGTGAAGTGACAGAATAAGATAAATGTATTTCATTTACTGTGATCTGTAGAGACCATTTTAATCCATAAAACAGGTTTTATTTGAATTTGTTTAATAAGAAATTTTAGAATTAATTATCACATTTCATATGCATCAGAAGAATAGCTACAGGATTGTTTGGTACTTTCAGTTTTTTATGTTACCTGCAAGAAGTTTGTCAATGAGAAAAATGTCTTTCAGTTTGTTCATTTTTTGTTTTTGTGTGTGGATATAAGTGTATTTCAATGTTCAGTTAGTGTGATTTTGACATTTAAGGTATTAAATACACCTTCAAAATTCTGTAATTATTTAGTAGTGTTATTGAATTCTTACTATTTAACTATTTGCTGATAATACAAAAGGATATTTGAAATTTAAATAGATTTGTACATAATCATAAAAATTTCTTGACAAAAATATTTCAATCTTATACTGCTTTGTATTATGTTTCAAACTGTGCATGACCTCTTTCAATTACATGTTTTTTCTTCTCCAGTGTGACTTGATTAATTAACTTGAAGAATAATTCTGTATTGTTATGCTATATTTTTTAAATGCTCTTTACAAATTAACTTGCATTACAGAAATGACAAAAAATATTGCAGTCATATCTACATAACAATAATTATCAAACTTACAAGTTTTGTTCAGACTTGTTGGATCTACATTTCAGAGCAACTACCAATAAGAAAATGCGTGAAACAGTTGCTCTTGAGCTGAGTTTTGTTAATTCCAACTTGCAGTTACTCAAAGAGCAACTAGCAGAAATGAACAGTTCAGTACAGATTTATCAGAATGAAAGGTACTTTTCCCAATGTTTTGTTTTTATTACTTTTGAAACTAACTGAAAAATATAATATGTTGTTTTATATTGCTATTACATACATCATGTGACACTAATACAATTATCCCAATAAAAATACAGTCAGATTACAATAATTTTGGTAGAGAATAGAATTCGATATATAGTTTCATAATATATATAACAATTTCATAACTTTTTAACTAGTGATGACAGTTTCATACGATGTTTGCTATTGAGGACTAAGCTGGTACATAAACTGTAGTATATAAAGATGACTGTTTGTTAAAATGTTTATTATTAATGACTAAGCTGGTACATAAACTGTATTGACTAAAGATGACAGTTTGTTACAATGTTTATTATTAACGACTAAGCTGGTACATAAACTGTATTGACTAAAGATGACAGTTTGTTACAATGTTGGTTATTAAGGACTAAGCTGGTACATAAACTGTATTGACTAAAGATGACAGTTTGTTACAATGTTGGTTATGAACGACTAAGCTGGTACATAAACTATATTGACTAAAGATGACAGTTTGTTACAATGTTGGTTATTAAGGACTAAGCTGGTACACAAACTGTATTGACTAAAGATGACAGTTTGTTACAATGTTGGTTATGAACGACTAAGCTGGTACATAAACTATATTGACTAAAGATGACAGTTTGTTACAATGTTGGTTATTAAGGAATAAGCTGGTACACAAACTGTATTGACTAAAGATGACAGTTTGTTACAATGTTGGTTATTAAGGACTAAGCTGGTACATAAACTGTATTGACTAACTATGACGGTTTGTTACAGTGTTTATTATTAAGGAATAAGCTGGTACATAAACTGTATTGACTAAAGATGACGGTTTGTTACAGTGGTTATTATTAAGGAATAAGCTGGTATATAAGCTGTATTAACTAAAGATGACAGTTTGTTATAATGTTGGTTATTAAGGAATAAACTGGTACATAAGCTGTATTAATTAAAGATGACAGTTTGTTAGTGTTTATTATTAAGGACTAAGTTGGTACATAAGCTGTATTAACTAAAGATGACAGTTTGTTACAGTGTTTATTATTAAGGAATAAACTGGTATATAAGCTGTATTAATTAAATATGACAGTTTGTTACAGTATTTGTTATTAAGGACTAAGCTGGTACATAAACTGTATTAATTAAAGATAATAGTTTGGTAAAATGCTTATAACTAGTTTTAAAAATTAGTATAATACTATTTTAACTAAAGAATGTTTTTGTAATTATTGTGATGTAGTTACTTTTGACTAGTTTAAAAAGACATAGGATATTTATTTTGAGTCACAGACTTCCTTGTTTTTCTATTTAAAAACTTTTGATGATTTGTTTTCTGTTATAATGCTTAAATTTTATGCTGTGTCATTAAATATTTTTCTTGTGATATGAGATGATGTTAAGTAGTAAAAACCCTCTCTTGTTTTAATTTAGGTTATAGTTAGATGTCTTGAACAAATTTTCAGTTTGTCAGAATTTAACATTATTGGATTTTTTATAGCTAAATAAATATAATCAATATGCTTAAATCTGTAGTACTGTGACTGGTTTCTATTCTGTCACTAAGTTTTTAACACCTGCTATATGAGCTAGCCCAGCATCTTTTAGTACAGAGCCTAGAATGGTCAACAGGGGGGGGTCATTTGAGAAACCAATGATTTAGTGGTATTTCAATAGATCTCTTTGAATGAAGCTTGACATAAGTTCTGAAACAGAAAAACTAAATATTAATGAAAATATGATGTAATGAATGCTATATGGATTATACTATGGTGGTACCACACTGGGAATTATATCATACTTCTTATATTTACTCTTTATTGCAGAAATGGCATTTTGAAATTCAGAATTGCTTGGGAAATCATCTTGTAATGCATCGTGCATCTGCTCCAACTTCAACACTGCATCTTTGGCTTTACTGCATTGTTAGTTTTACCCAATATTGAGATTAATAATTTATTATATATAATTCCAATCCCTCTTTTTGAAGATAACAAGACTTTTGTGCCCATTGTTTTATGTTTTATTGTCAATGCAGTAATCAATTGATGAATCTCTGATTCAGCTGGTATGACAAAACAATTGGGATATCTTCTAATAAGTTATTCCGTCATTTGATCTGGACCCACAGTTTAATTTAATCGATACACGTAAACCATCGCATTCATAACCACATCTAGAACACTTCAAGCATGTTTCATTGCTACATCGTTATATTTTACATTTACAAGTTACTTCTCTGTGTTCGCTCTCATGGTCTCAGGTCAAGTCAAGGGTTTGGTCCAGCAACCTAGACTTCAAAAATTGTGCCAGATTTTTTTTTTTGTCTAATCTAAACAATTTGAACCTTTCTGGAATGACTAATTTTTTGGATCCACATCAAGATGCCAGGCTGGCTTGTGTGGCAGATGTTAATATTGAGAAAGTTATCTTTGTCTGTAAATGTTCTGCTCTAAACTTGTGTGTGCTACAGAAGTTGTACTAAGTTGTTTTGTATAATTGTTTCAGTGCTAGCCAATTGGTTCCAATGATACCATTAGGGTTGAAAGAAACAAAAGATATTGACTTTCAAGAAGTGTTTAAGGTAAAGTTTTAGTCTGAAGTAATTATTCAAAAGTTATTGTAAGATTGTAATAGAAGTGGTCATTTAGAGCTATAATCAACAAAGTGAGGTGCACATTCACAATTGTTTCTAAGTGAAAATTGAAAGTTAACAAAAAATCAAGTATTATAAAATTTAATTATAAATATAAGTTCAGAGATCTTTGTCATGTTGTGCATGATATTATTTTAGTCAAAAACTACTGGAAGATAATCACAGTAAAATGTGACATTGTTTTGATGTGTGCATCAAATTTTTGAATAAACCATTTAATTAAAAGTTGTTTGTTGGATTATGATAATACACAATTTACATTAACAGAAACTATAAATGTAGTCTTGTAATTTAGAATATGAACAGTTTATATAGTTTAGTGTACAATATTTTAAGTATTCTAAGTAAAATGTAGCCTTAAATAGAAGCATTAGGAAATAGTAACAAACTATTCAGAGTTCAATTATTTATAGTCTAATGTATTTTTACTGTAAAAATAAGAGGTTTAAAAAACATGATTGTTTTTGAGAAGCTGTTTAAAACTGAATCAAAAACTACAGCTGTATCTGTAGCAACTTTAAGTACAAATGAAAGTGAGTTGTGGAAAAAGTCATATAGTTGTGTGAGGTTCATAAAAACTATGAAAATAGTTTACTTCATGTACATTACTCTGAAACTTGCTTTTTCCATAAGTTTTACTCTGAAATGTGTTTACTTGCTTTGCTCTAGTATTTCCAAGTAATATGTAAATAATGAGAATTTTACGTAACAGAGTATATGGAGTGAAAAAAGGAATTTTATGTTACAAGTTTTATAAAAATTAGTATTCCATTTTCCTAAAATGTTAAAATAATGGTTGATTAATGTTATTTAACACACTAATGAAAATATAAAACAATTCTAATTCCTTTAATGTTATTTTATCTGTAGGATTTTATTTTAGAGCACTATAGTGAAGATGGCAACAAGTTTGAAAGTTCTTTACAAGAACTAGCTGACATTCGACAGGTAACTTTCTATATTTTAAGGTTTAAGACTATAGGCATTTTGATGTTAATGAACTTATGACAGATACAACAATTGTGTCTTAACATTTAGTAATTACTTTATAATATTATAAATACATTAATTACTTAATTTGTTATAATGTTACAAATATAACTAATTTGTTACTAAACAGGGAAGTCTAATAACCAAAAGATACTTAGGCACATCTGTAATACAAGGTAAGGAAACACTTTGCCTGGAAAATCATTTTTACACAAGATTTCTTTGGTATTCATAAATTTTTTAATGCAAATCATCAAGTGTGATAGGTATGTTTTGTGAGCAAAATGAAAAACTATTTTAAATAAATGTTCTTTAAAAATACTAGGAATAAAGCTTAAAAAGTTGAAATAACATAACATGATGTTTTGAGACAACATGGGACCTATTGGTCCATCTCGGCTGTTCCATCTTCTAAACTAAATTCAAATAATTAAAAACAAAGATCTTAAATCCAGACCTTATCATTCATATACGTATCAAGCTTTTTCTTAAACTCACTTAAATTTACTGCCTCTACAACATCTGAAGGCAACCCATTCCAAAGGCTAACTACCCTGTTGGAAAAATTAAACTGTCTTAGCTGAAGATGACTCCTACCTTGCCAGAATTTATATTTGTCCCCTATTCCTACTATTCTCATTGTTAAATATATATAAAAAAAAAAAAAGTTGATACATCAACACTATCAATTCCCTATACAATCTTAAACATCTCAGTCAGATTCCTCCCCTAACTCTTCTTTTTTCAAGAGAAAATAATTTGAGAGTTTTCAGCCTCTGATCATATGACAACTCCTCCATGGCACCATTCTAGTAACCCTTTCCAACAACTCAATGCCTTTCTTAAGGTAAGGAGCCCAAGACTGAACACAATATTCCAAATATAGCCTAGCCAGTGACCTGTACAATGAGAATATAACCTCTTTAGACTTGTATTCAATATTTCTATAGATACAACCTAAAGTCCTATTTGCCCTACCACAAGCAACAACAAACTGCTTGGATGGCTTTAGAGACTGATTGACTATTACACCAAGATTCCTTTCCTTCATAACGCTGTTAAGGTTATTCCCAAGATCTGTTCAAGATGTGGAATACTGCTTAAATCTTCGTTAGTAAAAACTGAAAAAAAAATAAATAATAATCCAGATACTAGCCTTTCCTTATCATATCTCAAGGGTCCTACCCCTATGCTAACATTTTGTTTACCCTTAATGTATTTAAAGAAATCCTTACTGTTAATTTTTACATTTTCAGCCAAACTTTCCTCATACATCCTTTTTGATGTCCTAATCTCCTGTATGACCAACTATCTTGATCTTCTATAATGTTCTAAATACCCAGTCGTACCAATAAATTTAATTTTTTTAATTTTTGATGCTTTTCTTTAATTTTAACTCTTAAACTCTTTGTGAGCCAGCCTGGTTTTTTAATTGCAGCTACCCTATTCTTTCTATAAGGAATATGTTTACCTTGAATATTTAAAAATTTATCTTTAAAATTTTTTTCACATCTGATCAGTGTCTCCAAATAACTCAGCTTCCCAATTCACAAGAGATAATTTTTGTCACATCCCTTCAAAACTTGCTTTTTTGAAATTTGTAACCAAAATATCATTATTTCTTATCTCCATATGCAGCAAAACATTGAATCTAAAAGAGCAATGATCACTTGCACCTAGATGTTTCTCAATATCCACCCTCTCAATCATTTCTGTATTTGAAGTTAACAATAAATCTAAAATAGCATTGTTTCTAGTAGGTTCCATGACTAATTGGTGAAGAAAACCATCCTGAACAGTTTCCAAAAACCTGTGAAAGTTTATAGTTTGTGATGCACTTCACATTTAAATTGTTCACTGTTATTTCTGATTAAAGTGTCCAAAAATGGAAGTTTGTGATTCTCCTGATTTTCTATAATAAAAACTTCAAAGCACTGTGTCTGATGTTCAGATAATGTAAAATTCAGGAAGCTTGATCAGAATTTTAAAAGATGGTGAAAGTGTCATCCACATACCTGCAATAGTATGGTGGTTTTAAGCTCTTGCAGGCAGTTTTCTAACCATTGGTTTCCGTGGGAACATAAGAAATAAATTGGCTAAAGATGGTACCAATCTTGAACCCATGGCAACACCACTGACCTGATCATATAACTTTTTCTTCAAAAGAAAATGAATCTCTTTAGTTTCAAAGTTAATTAGTTTTAAAAACTGATTTTGGAATGTTTATTTTATTGGAATTGTCATTATAAATCAAATCTGATGCAGTAAACTATACTGTCAAAATCCAGTTGTTGTATTTCATGATAAAATTCAAACTGTCATTCAGTGTGTATTCATTTGTTGGGAACTTCAAATTTTTACCTAAAACAACCTGCCGAATCATTGTTGTCAGGTCCAATATTCAATGTTGTAGGTTGTGAGGGGCATCCTTCTTTGTGAAATTTTCGTAACTCATAAGAAATTCTAGTGCTGTCATTTCATTAAAGATAGTCTTTTTTTAATGGAAGTAAATATTGTTGTAATTTAGCCACCTTTTTGTCAGTAGGATCATACTGCAAGTTCACAGATTTAGTAGTCAATGTTCAAGCTTACCAATATGGGTAAATATTCTTTGATTTATCAAGAATCAGTTTGAAAATGTTATTCGTAGGGTATACCACAGATACAACTGAGGTGTGTTTTTAAACCTAATCGTTGCCTTAGTTTTTCTTTAAATTTATAGATCAAATTTGAACTTTCCAATCATCTTTTGATGTTTACAAATTTACTTATCCCTGTTATCAGCAGGGCTACATTGATTCTACTGAACAAAAATTATTAAAACGTGAAAGAACATTCTAACCTAAGATTACCAGTTAAGTATATTATACATGTACATGCCCTAGGTAAATGCGATGTTCCCATCCATTCCAATTTCATTTAAGATCTTGGCCAAGGCCAATGAAAAACAGTCTGTGAATAAAAGAGTTTGCTCATTTATAAACTGAGGCCCTAAATTAATGCTGCGAGTTCTTATTTTTGAATCTGTGAAAATGTAGGGAATAAGTATATGATGTGTACACGTGTAATTTACTAAACATATCTGTATGGTAGTATAAGGTATAAACCTTTATTTACTATAGCTAATACGAGTCTAAAGTGTTGAGAAAAACATTGGCCAATAAACAGTCCATTTAAACTTTTTAACATCAGACATAACTTATATCCACGACAAATTTTTTATTTTTCAAATACATAAAGATGAAAGTAAAACTAAGACTTTTGAAATTAAATGAATATAATGGTGGTTTTTGTAGTTAACATAGTCTGTGAATATTAGGTCAAAGTTAACCCCTTTTAGCATACACTGCTATTTTGGAGAAATTAACAATGTAAGTTTTAAAATACACAGGGCAACATTCTGTGATGTAAAGAAAAATTAAGTTTATTGTTATTATTAAGAAGAATGTATCAAAAGATACAAGTTAGATGTGTTCCAAAATGTAGTTTCTAAAGATAAACAATTTGTTTATGCTTGCTTGTCCTTGCTGCACAAATGAGTAATGGTTAGTTATCTTGTAACAAATATGTTGTTCTAAAAGAAGTTAAACAGAATATACTTGCAATTCAAAAATGACATAACTGAAGCTCAAACATCTAACTCAACAATATAACCATTACACAAGAACTTAGGAAAAATAACTAGAAATAAAAACAATTTCATAAATTATCACAAAAATCAGATTAATAGTATAACACTTCCAAACTATTATTAATTATAACTTGCTATAACATAGAATCAAACAATATCTGTTTTAAAACTCCACATTATAGAGAGAGTAGTTTACAGAGAACGGCAGAATAGTTTACATATAACCTATGATGGTAATGTAACAACTAATTCTAATGGATTATTAGCTGGCATCACATATAAACAAACTCCAGATACAGCTGCACTAGATAATTGAGGAAAGGTATATAAAATATTAACATAATAATGATTAACAAAAAAAAAGGAAATAATGCCACTTCCACAATCTATTGGAATGAAATATCACACCAACCAGGCTGGGAAATACATCAAGCTTAGATCACCATTTTGTGTCCAATTATAATGCTACAATTTACACTGAATATTTTTAGATTGTGGGTAGAGCTGAGGAGGATTATTTTGTGATTGTAAATCTGAAGCTAACCTTAAATAAACAGAATTTTGCTTGTCCAGTTTTTCTCAAACTGTGGGCTTGCAATATTTGTACTAAATTAGATGGCTGACTTCTAGTTTAGTGATTATAAGTTGCACAATTAATCATCTACATGTTACTTAAATCTTTATAACACAGTGGCTTTCTACTCGGTGATTGTGATACGGTACTCAACCACAAAGACAACTGGCAGATACTTAAGAAAAGATAGTGTGGCTTATGTAGATGTATTATAAAGTGAAAACAATCTAGACATTGACCAACATACTTGTCAAAATAAGGAAGGAGTATCTTTGTATATAAGTACTTTCAATCTATAGAGATAATTTTGGTTTCAATATGCTCCCTGAAAAATTGTTAGAAGAAAAAAAAAGGTTAGTAATGATCATTTTTAGTGGTATAGCAACCTCCATCTTGGGGTAATTTGGAGACATTTCAAGATGGTGGTATGTTTTTTTTCTCAAAACCTTTTTACAAAACTTTTCAAGACAAAGAATGTAGTTTGGCTAGATTTAAATTTTTTATAATCTATTTTAGATCTTTTTTTTTGATGTCTTGACAAACAGTCAGGATATTATTTTCATATTAATAAAAACTAAAAATGGAAAAACAAACAAACAAATACTTTAATCCTTAGACTAAGGAATAATGAATTGAAACTTGAAAAGGTTTTGCTCTTGCTAAAAGGGGCCACAGAGCTCACAAAGCTGAACTTATGACTTAAGTTATCTAATGTTTTAAATTATCATGTGATTAAAATGGAACATCTAACTTGTTTCCCTACTACAGTTGCTTTACGAGTCTATGCAAGAGGTTAAACTCTTGCAGGTTCATATATTTGAATATCTAGCAGTATCCACACTTACTGGAATGAATTTGGTATAGATATAGTGAAAACATTAGATTATAAATGATGTATAAAAATTACTGTTGTAAAAGGCCTTCCAATAGTTTTTGTGCTAGTTTCCTCAGTTGAAAACTTGTGTATTAATTAAACACTATTTACCATAGGTTACACCTTAAAATATTAATTTAGATAAAATTCATAATTTTTATTTACTTATTGATTTTAATTTATATTTTGTGTAGTTTGGTATTAACATTAAATCTGATGATGAAGTAAATAAAATAATAGATTATATACAAAAATGTATCTGTCATAAACTTATAAAACTGATTATTTCAGGGAAATATTTTTACAAGGTGGTAACATTTTTTTTCTTTAGGCTTGTAAAACCCCTGCAAGAGATCAAAGTGGAGTTTTATTGCTGTTTCAGTATTACAACCTTCTGTATTACGTGGAAAGGAGATTTTTTCCTCCTCATCGAAGTATGGGTATTTACTTTGAATGGTAAGTGGGCAGAATTAGTTGTAAATTGTATTTACTGCAATGACCATATTCATTGTTCTGTATGAGTATTTACTTTGAATGGTAAGTAGGCACTATTAAGTTATAATTTGTATTTACTGCAATGACCATATTCATTAGTCTTTTTTTTGTTTATTGTGATAATTTGATATTTTTCTTATTTGAGTGGGTTTAAGGCTAGATTTTCACCTTGTGAAATATGCTGACTATTCAACAAAATTTCAACTTTTTGTAATGACTCTGCCGAGCATCTTTTCTCAGACTTTGAAAACTTTTACCATCACTGTTGTAAGACTAATAAGCCTATAATTACTGGGACAATTTATATTGCCTCCTTAGAAAACAGGAGTAATAATAACCAACTTGCAATCTTCTGGCACCTGCCCACTATTCAAAGACTTAGAAACAAATTTGTAGCAAGTGGCTCACACACATCTAATCTTTAAACCCTTTGAGCAACTGTTCAAGTTGAGAAATATTACTTAAATTTTCATAAGTAAATACTGAAGAAAAAGTATAATTTAATAATGCAGCCATTCTATAATCATCAGATATTAGCCTTCCTGTATCATAAAACATGTAAGGACTTCAGCATTTAAAAATACACAATAATCTGTTGTATAAAGTTAAAAGCAAAATATACAATTAGAAACTACATAAAATTAAAACTCTACGTGTTTTGGTGGAAAAAATTCACCATATTCAGGAGACCAGAAGAAACACAAGAAATTTCATTTTTATACAAGCACGAGTACATGTATAATTTTCATTTGTGCAGTGCCTTCTACAGAATAGATTTTAAAAATGCACTTCTGTGGAATCTGGGCCTAGTTCTCTATTCAACATTGTTTTATGTTTAACAATTTAATACTCTTAATGTATTTGAAAAAATCTTTACTATTGAGTTTTAATTTTCAGCCAACCTTTTTTTATTTTGTATATGCTTTATTTCGTACTCTCCCATTTGGCCAACTCTATTGATCTTCTATAATCCTCCAAATCTCTCATCATTACAGTCAACTTATAAACTTCTTACATTTTGTCTTTTATACTCTTTGTGAGCCAATCTGGTTTTTATTTGCAGCCACCCTTTTTTTGGGTAAAGAACATGCCTCTCTTAAATATTTAATGATTTTAGTTTTTAAAAAATTTCAACATTTTATCATTATCTCCAATTAATTTAGTTGCCCAGTTCACAGCAGATAATTCTTATGTCATCTCTTAAATTTGTTTTTGAAATTTCAAACCAAAATCTCATTATTCCTTCTTTCCATATTCAGCAAACATCTAAATGCACAAAGATCACTTGTACCCTGGCCCAGCATGGCCAGGTGGTTAGGATGCTCGACTCGCAACCTGAAGCTCGCCCTTTTAGCTGTGGGAGCATTATAATGTGATGGTAAATCCCACTATTCATTAGTAAAAGAATAGCCCAAGAGTTGGGGGTGGGTGGTAATGACTAGCTGCCTTCCCTCTAGTCTTACACGGCTAAATTATGGACGGCTAGCGCAGATAGCCCTCATGTAGCTTTGCTCGAGATTCAAAACAAACCACTTGTACCCAGATGTTCCCACAATCTCTACGTTATCAAGCATTTCTTTATTAAAATTTAACAAGTCTAAATAGCATTGTTCCTAGTAGGTTCTCTAACCAATTGTTGAAGAAAACCATTTGAAACAGTTTTTAAAAATCTGTCTTTGAAACACAAACTTTTAACATGTCCAATCTATATGTCTGAACTTACCATCATTTTAACCTCATTAACAGTTGAATTCTTTACCTCACTGTAAAGTTTCTCATTAATTTCATCTGATGGTCTGTTACAAATTCCAACTAAATGCCTTCTCCCATTATAACCACTAAGAGAAACCCAAAGAGATCCAACCTCATTGTTATTAGCTTTGATATTCTACACTTGAACAGAATGTAACTCACCTTTACATATAAAGCCGCTCTTCCCTTCTTTTTAGTACTCTATCCTTGTTAAACAACCTATAACTTAAAAATTAGAATTGTCTACATGTTTCAATTATTCTCATTATATCAAAAACATTTTGTTCCAACCAGTGCTCCAAAGTCATCTATTTTATTTCTTATACTTCTAGTATGACAATAACAACAGTCTAACGTACCATTAAAACCACCTTTATATCTCGTTCCCACACTATAACTCTCTCTATAACTTTTTTCTCATTATTTTGGTCCTCTCCACTGTCTATTCCTAGTTTAAAGTTTCCTTTATAGTTGAGTTAATAGCTCTTGCAAACAAACCAACCAACCTACTTGTTCTTGCATATTAACTTAACCTAGTGTTCAGCCCTTGTGACCTACTTATAATTTCATTCCTACAATTAAGTCTTGGCAGTATCTTTCACAAAATTATGTTATTATAGCCATTTTCTTTGAATGCCTTTTACTTAGTAATAAGCTCTTCTGACACAGTCTTTCCTACATCTTTAACCCTTATATGCACTACAAAACTGCATCACTGCTAGCACCCTTTACTACATCACTTACTCTGTTGTTTATATCCTTCACCCTTGCCCATGGATAGCATAATCTAATTCTTTTTACACCACAAATTATCCTATCCACATGCTGTACTAAAGAATTTCCTATAACAATAACTTCCTTATGTTTTTCATTCCCATTCTTATGTGTTCTTTTTGTTATCCTTCCTTTCTCTAGTATTTTAAAATTATGGCTTCATAGCATCATGGAGCAATCACTTACATTATTGAAGTGTTACTTTGTGAACACAATGCATTCATTTACTCAAGTATATTTCTCTCTACACGATATTTATATTAACATTTTTTTTAGAACTTATTAAGTTTTCAAAGTAAAATATTGTGTACAAGGTTTATCTTAGAGGTGATGTTCATTGTGATCTGTTGTACACACAGATAATTCAATATGTAATTTTTTCAATTAAATTTAATAGTTCTAAAATTCTAAATATTTTAAGAATTGTTTTGTAATATTACATACTCTATCTTATCATTTTGTTATTACTGAGCTAAACAAATAGTGGTTTAAAATTTATAGCCTTTAGAAACATGTTTTGACATGGTACTCCTTTTTAGAAAGGAGAAGCTGTAACTTGCAAGACATGATTACTAGTTTATAAAAAAAACTGTTTTTGTGTGGTATGCTTCATACATGTTAACTTTTCTAGAGATACAAAATAAAAAGAAATGAGACATTAATTTTTGGTGTACTATATCACTTCACCAATAAAAACATAATAATAATAATAAAGGTCCTGTCTTTCAGGTTTGATTCTTTGACAGGTGTTCCAAGCACCCAGAAAACTGTGGCTTTTGAAAAAGCTAGCATACTTTTCAACATTGCTGCCGTGTACACACAAATAGGAGCTAAGCAGGTAAGATAAAGAGACAACTGAGAAACTCCAAATAATTTAGAAAACAAATAAAACATAACACCAACTCGAAATGTTTAAGAAAGACAATGTTTAGAGGGCGTACCAACTTTCATTATCAGATGTACTCCTGTTTGGTATTACACTGCTTAAATGAGTTTACTCATATGATAGATTAAAACCTAGGTTACATCAAGGGCATAGGGTGACTCCATAAATAGGTGGTACAACAGAAAAGTAGCAGCAACCATGATGGAAAAAAGTGCTTGGTCTCTAGAAGCTGGAGAGTTTTTTCCAAAACAAAATCTGAGGCTTTCCTTGACTTAAAATATGTTCAAATGAAAATAATACTTTTACGTTAATTGTTCAAAAAAATACTAAAGATTAAACAAAGAGATATGAAACCTTTTGGAAAAAAAGAGTAAACTTGTTTTTAAGTCTTCAAAAAATACTACTTTTACTCCTCCTGAAACAGTAAAAAAAACAAAAAAAAATTACACTCATTGCAGTTGTACACTTCATAAATATGAATTACTTATTAATATCAGAAAAAATATTGCTGATGTCAGAAAATTCAAACATACTGTCATGAATTTAGTTTTAGAAAGTGGTATACGATAAAACTTCACTTTTAACAGCACATTAAATCAATTATCAGAACTAAGTATCTTCTTACCTTATAGCTTGCACCAGCTACTTAGTCAATATTTAAGAGTGATAAGAAACTTCTCCAATGGTCAAAATTTTAGATTAGATAGAATACTACATTTGCCAATAACAATTCTGTGAAATACATACATGACTATTAGTAATAAAAGAGAACTTTCATAGTTGCAACTGGTTGAACTAGGAAATTGGAAATATGCTACCAATGCCTTCAATCAATGGAACAGTTTTGAAAATTACTTGTTTTAATTTTTCCTTTTGTATCTGCCAGTAAGAGATGTAGGGAGATACAGTTGCCATTCCAAAGCAAGTTGAGAGGCCTGGGTCAGTGTAAGGCTGCATTTATTCAGAATCTCAGTCACCATATTGCTTTGAATCCTGCTATTTTCCTATTATATGTTCATGCCATTGGTTGATTGGGCTGCATTCTTTTTCAGTATATGGCCATACTACTTAATTCTTTGATTCTCAATGTATTTGCTGATTGGGGCTATTCCAACCGTTTATCTGACCTGTAAATTTTTACCTTGTCTCTTATTGTTATGCTAGCAGATTTCTGTAAGCATCTCCTATAGCAAGTGATGATTTTCTTTTCTTAATTTTTATTAAAGAAACCAGATTTACATTGGTAACGTAGGGTTGGTATAAAGATGGTGTTTATTAACTTCCACTTTATTTCCACCACGATATTTGGGTGTTTCAGGAGACGTGTTAACTGGTAGTTTATTTAATTCACCTGCTGAAACCTGGGGTTATTAATATTGACGTTTAACCGGTGTGGAGTTCTACTTACTAACATTGCTTGCTGTGCTGATTTTCATATCGTACCTTTAGCAGCTGTATACTTGCATGGTTTTGTAGCTCTTCTTCACTTGAGTGTATCAGACTTTGGTCATGAGCAAGAAGTAATTTGTTTAAGGCTTCTAGATTTGGATTTGCTTCTTTGGTAATCTGATCCATATAAATGATTAATATAAGAGGGGATAAGACACAGCCTTGTCTCACTCCAGATGATACTTGGAACCAGTTAGTTAGGCCATTTGTGGTTCTCGCAACACCTTTCTGTCTGCACACATTGCTCTCATGTTTTCCAAGAGCTGTTCTTGCACCTTGTAATCTTCCAGTATGTTCCACAATTTTTCTATTAATACAATTGAATGCTTTTTATTGATCTGTCAATATAATATTTAGTTCTTGTTGGTGTTTAATGGCCTTCTCACTGAGTTGTCTTAATGCAAATATTACATCAGTGCAACCTCTACCTTTCCTAAAACTAAACTGTACCTCACTTAAGTTTTGAGAACAGGCCCAATTTTCTGGAAGCTGGTAGTGCACTACCATGACCTGTTGATGCTATGCCACTGAGTAGTGTCACAGGTAACAATAATGTTTAAATAGTGTGCTCTTTTTAATATTTTTCCCATCCACTCTTTGATTTTAATAAAGTCCATATGTGTGGTTGTTGATTCAGGTGTTGTAAAATATCAAAGTAAAAGTACATTCAAAACCAACTTTATCTTCTGTACATGAAATACATGCCCCTCAGTTTGGGGATTGTTCAAATTGTGATTTGTTGAAACCATTTCTTCTATCACCACAAGCTTTGGTAATAATAATAATTCTTTCCAGCTGGTACTTAAATATAGTGACTTATTAATTGAATAGAGAATGCTTTTTTTAATGAAGAATGTATTTGTTTTACACACTGGAATAAATTGTATTTCTTAAAAAAGTGAAAACCAATATTTTATATCCTTATCTCACCTGGCAGTTGTATATATTCTTGGTCAGAATTGGTTAGCAGAAGATTGTAAGTATTATTATGTTTGTCAAATGATATATATAAAACTTGTTTGAAAGTTAATAATCTGTGCTAATTTTGTGAACATTAGTGTTTAAGATATGCTTCTCTTTTTTTCTAGGATCGGACAAAGAGCTCGGCTGTGGATGATGCAGTAGATAATTTTTTGAGAGCAGCAGGAATGTTTCATTACATTAAGGAAAATTTCAGTAATGCTCCAAGCATGGACCTTGCCCCGGATACTTTACAAACTCTTACACACCTTATGCTGGCAAGTTTTATTAGAATTGTTTTTTGTTCTCATGTACATTGCAGTTCTTCACAATAATTTGATTTAAATTAAATAAGTATATAATCTACTCTTGATTTTGAAGTCACTTTTGTAATGCAGTCCCTTTGATTTTAATAATGACTGTGACTAAAATGCTTTGTTTGTGTTTTAAACTTCAGTTTTGCTTAAGAATTGTTCACAAAAACCAGTTGCAACTTTAAACACCTTCTTTTCTTAAGTTAGAGGTGTGTAAAGTAGTGTGAATATATTTAAATGTTCTTTAAGTCAACTTGTACTTTATTCATTCCTAAAGAGTTTTATTGGTTTCATTTCATTCTTTTTGATATTGAACAACAGGTGTTGTTTCTCCATCTTTATTGGTGCTTTCACTGCAAATATTTCTATATACTGTTTTTAAGGTAATTCAGAACAAACAGTTTCTCACTTTAGGGATATTTCTTACATTAAATGAGCATTAATATTAATATTTAAAATATATAAAACAGGCACAGGCAAGAGAATGTTTGTTTGAGAAACTGATTCTAACCAATATTGATAAACAAGGGATTGAAGGCTGTCTGGATGTAGCACAAGAAGCTGCAGAGGTGAGTCTTGCATTTTTGTAACCATGCTTGTATCTTATTTTGCAAATAGCACTAAAAGTAATTATTTAGCTGCACTTACTTTAGAAGTTGTGATCATTTCAAAACCTTCAATTTATGCTTTTTTTGTCTTTACATTACTTAAAAATTTAAATTTGACAAAAATGCTGACTAAATTTTCTTTCTTATGAGCTACGTTTTATCATATTTGCAATTTTAAATTCTGACTATGTTTTACCTGGAGTTGTGTGTTCTTTCTGTTATTTTATTGTGAATAGTGGTTGAATTTATTCATGGTTGGATGTATATGTAAGGTGCATTCTTACTGTGTTGAGTGTAATGTACACTAATTTTAGTGTCTCATAAGTAAATGCTGTATTGCCATATCTTAATTTATAGCAAGAATGCTAAGAGGTCTAATTAGTAACAGAATTTAAAGTTATTGTGAAATATACTGAAGGATAATTTCAAAGAAGTTGTTTCCAGTGCACAGGTGGTTATGTTAAATTGTTTAGTTTCATCTTATAAATAAAAACCACAATAATAGTTGGTCCAATATACTGTTATTCTGTTGTGCAAAAGATAGTACTTTTGAGCCGTGGTTCTCAACCTGTGATCCTTGGGGAATAGTAAAGTTTCCATGTTATAGTTTAAAGGAAAAACTTGTAGCATGTTCTGTGAAATGAAAATGTTTTATTTAAGAATTTCATTAGCTTGCATATTTAGTTATGATAGTGCTTCTTTCATATTCTGTAGGATCAATCTCTGCAGATATTATTTGAGAGTGCAGGACCATGAGGTTTGTCTGTGGTTTGTGAATGGTTCGATAAGGTTGAGAACCACCTCAAAAAATTTTAATTTATTAACAAATGTATATATTCTCTACTGTATTGTGTTCCAAACTGTCAATTAATTTAATGTTTAGAGGTGGGTGTCTTCGTCTAGAGCACTTTAATCTAACTCAGTTTCATTTCTAAACTGCTTATTGTTGATATTACTTTCTCTCATCAGGTAGCGGCAGTGTACAGTCAGGTACATAAACTAATCTCTGCTCCAGAAGTGAAAGATTATGTTCCCTACAGTTGGATTAGCTTAATTCTAGTAAAATCTGAACATTACAGAGCTTTAGCTCATCATTTTGTTGCAGTGGGATTACTTGATCATAATGGTATGCAGTGCTACTTATTAATTTAGTATGTTAAGTAATTTGGCATAAATATATTTTATTTAGTCCTTTGATAAATAAAACAGTCCAGAAACTAAACACTAAAAATCTCTAAAGACCCCCATAAAAGGTACATAAAATTCTTTGTATGTTTAGACTAGACACTTCTTTGTTATCAGTGTTTTACATATGTCTGTTTTGGGTGTGTGTGTATTTACAGCTAGATTTTAATTCTGAAGGTATCAGGTGTACATATCAAGATTACTTGTACAGTAGGGCATATATTTTTAACAGTATGTGAATCAGAGTTGGGCCATATTATATGTTTGTTTGAAATATATACAGATGTAATATCTCTATGCATAAAATTTATTATAACAATTTACATTTTATGTGGTTTATATGTTTAAATTAAAGTATTGTAACTACTACTGTCAGATTTTATCTTTATTCACTAGCCTCACATGTGGAATGAAATTAGAAATTTAAATCCTAATTAGAAACTGATGTGGGTACTAAGCTCACAATGTTCCACATGTGAATTACCATTCATAGTCTGCAACTACTTGCTGGAAGGTAGTTGTTTTTCATGAAACTGAATAGGAAAAAAAAAATAAGTTGGTGCATATGTGTAATTAAATAGGACATAGACACAGTCTGCTGGTAATAAATGATAAATAAAAGGTAATCTAAAACTTGCCCCTTTAATGATCACAGATTTCTTCAATACAAGAAGAGTTGAAAGAAGCACAGTACTTGTTTCTGGATTAACCTTTATAGATATATATAGAAGCCTGAAATTATGTTCAATATTGTACTGTCTTATCTTGATTATCTGATTAATGGTGTGCAGCATATTTGTTTAAGAATACTCCCACTATTACATTCAGTAAAACTACATCCATGAAAATCTACTCAGTGTCAACAAAAGATAATGGTCGATATTCTTAGAGGGACAAGTGGCATTTAGCCACGAGAGACAAAGTATTGTCAATAAATTACTTAAATTTGCAGATGATATTAAGGTCTTGGGCATTGCTAGCTGTGAAAAGGATGCTGCTGATTTACAAAAGGATTTAGATCATTTAGTGAGTTGGACAAATAAATGGCAGATGGGTTTTAATTATAATAAATGCAAAATAATGTATGTGGGTTATC